TTGATGAAAGTGTGCGTATTTGGGACGTGCGCACCGGCAAATGTTTGAAGACTCTTCCAGCGCACTCTGATCCTGTATCAGCAGTTCATTTCAATCGGGACGGGTCCTTAATTGTAAGTTCCAGCTATGACGGGCTATGTCGTATTTGGGATACAGCAAGTGGTCAGTGTCTGAAAACTTTGATTGATGATGATAATCCACCGGTGAGCTTTGTCAAATTTTCGCCAAATGGAAAGTATATTCTGGCAGCCACTTTGGATAATACTTTANGGCAAATGCTTGAAGACATATACAGGACACAAAAACGAAAAGTATTGCATATTTGCAAATTTCTCAGTAACTGGTGGCAAGGTAATTACAATGGTTTATAAAATACTTATGCGATTTAAATTTAAAATATTTTTCTGCAGTGGATTGTATCTGGTAGTGAAGACAATATGGTCTATATCTGGAACTTACAGAGCAAAGAAGTCGTTCAAAAGCTTCAGGGTCATACGGATACTGTTTTGTGCACAGCTTGTCACCCTACGGAGAACATCATTGCTTCGGCGGCGTTAGAAAATGACAAGACTATCAAATTGTGGAAAAGTGACACATAAACGCACGCGAATCATAAAATTCGATTGCGTGCGAATACAAATATAGTTCTATTAATTAAACTAGTTTAAGAAATCAACCTCAGACGTTTACTATGTTTTGTAATAACAAAACCCTCATACATAAACATTTCATTTCCGATATCTGTACGAAATTAAACTTCATTCAAATAAAGTTCTAAAACTGATATCTTACTACGTTTAAGCGTAGGTCAGCAGACTTGAAAGCAAGACTTGACGTGTCTAAAAGGGGACTTATACGTAAGCTATTTGCAAATAAAAATAATTTGCAAATACCTAACTCACTGTTTATTCGACGGTGTGGAAAATTCTTTTCTAATATAACCTGATTATAAAAAGGCAATATTATTATTATTATTATTATTATTTAGATGCTGGTATGAATATGGCGACGTCTTGCCCTTATTTGCAGATAGTACCACTAATCAATACTTATTTACGTGATTTAGTTATTTGCAAAT